GGTGAGGATGGTGATGCTAATGATGAGAATGCTGAAGATGATGATGGTGGTTGTGGTGATAATGCTGAATAGTGATGGTGATAATGATGATGATGATGATGGTGAGGGTGAGGATGGTGATGTTAATGATGAGAATGCTGAAGATGATGATGGTGGTTGTGGTGATGATGATGATGAAAGGGGTTGTATTTTAGACGTTTTTATTAGGGTATGAACACAGAAGCGACATTTCCGGTAAAATTAAAGTTTTCCTGTCAAATGTGCCACTGAAACTCGCAGACTGTCCAGGTGATCTCGTTTTGACAGCCCATCAAAAACCAGCCAATCATCGCGCAGGAAAACATCTGATCAGAAGGTCCATCAAAAATAAACATGGCGACCGAAGTCAGAAAACATTACTCTGAATCTTTGCTTCCCTAGCTGACTCCTAGCTACGTTATGGACTAGCAATACATAGATTCTACCTATTCTTGTGATTAATACCTATGGGTCAAAGGTGCGTTGTGGTTTCAATTCGTTTATGAAATTATCCGCGTGAAATAATAGCTCTTTGTTCGCAGATAAATAAATGAAACCTGAGGACAGCCTGATCAACTACAACAATCCTTTGCGCGCGTTCCCCGAGATCGCCTGGGTATGTTTATCCAAGGACTGTAAATCTATATATAGAAGATATAGGGGAGATATATTTTGGAAAATAAACTAAATGAATATGTAATGAAACTCTTAACCGTCCTATGCAAATGGTTTACGAAAATCACTTAATTATCTTCTTTCTTCTTAGCTTTTTTAATGTCCTTAGACAATAAATGAAAATTGCCTCATAATCCTTGTAGTACTCTTTTAAACAAATACTATGTAGTTGTTTGTCGCACAAGATTTCAATTCCATTGAGAAAACTGCTGCAACGGTGATTGGTTCGCTAGTGTTTGAGTAGGAACTATGAATATTTTTTATCGCAGGGGGTATTTTAAACATTTGCATGGAAATATAAACAGAAAAAACTGGAATGATTCAAATCAAACTATTAAACCTTATCATATACGGGGCAAAATACTTGAAGGTGATTGGCTAAAAAAGGAGGGCATTTCCCCCTTAATTTGGGGCCTAATGACAAGGAAATGATTGGTAGCTCAGTTACCTAGCAACGCTCCTCAATTTTAATTTTTTTTTCAATGTTTGCAAATGTCCGATCTCAGTTAAGAACTTCATTCGCCTAGTATGTCAGTGAAATGTAGGACTCTATTTAAAGTGCTACTCTGAAGAAAATCGCTCAAACTTGGATTCAGCTTAAACTTCCTAAGAATACACTTTAAAGGTCCAATAATCACTGTATGAAGTGTTTTCTCGATATTCAGGACGAAAGTATGATATTTTTACGATTATTTTTTGGAGTCTGTGACGTCATACACTCAACATCAAACATTGCTACATATATTTCTTTATATATAAATCCTTAATTTATTTTATTCCTATGAAGCTCCAAGGGTGGCTAATGTGCTTATTTCACATTACTTGTGACTATAATTTATATTTTGGGRTGTTTGGGTATTTCTTTCTCCCTTTACTACTRATATTTTGATCRTAAACTACAAAGAAATGTATGGAGCGATGTTCGATGTTGAGTGTATGACGTCACAGACTCCAAAAAATAATCGTAAAAATATCATACTTTCGTCCTGAATATCGAGAAAACACTTCATACAGTGATTATTGGACCTATGAAGAGTGTTCTTAGGAAGTTTCAGATGAATCCAAGTTTGGGCGATTTTCGTCAGAGTAGCACTTTAAAACTGCTTCATAAAATGTTTCATGAAATATGATTGATTGTGAAATAAAATTTTTAAGTGCTCTTAAAAATGCGGCGACGTTGTTTCGAGTCGCTTTTTGAGACAAGCTCCAAAACACTTAAAATCGGAAAAGTAAGGATTGAGAGCTGCAGTGTATGGTGAACATTAGTTTTCTCGATCTCATATTGGCAATCTAAATCAATTTCAGGGCATTTAAAGAAATGTTCCCCAATAATCACTGAGCCTGAGGCGAATAATTGTTTTAGTATTATTACACAGCTGATTATTTGAAAGAAAATAGATAACATCGGTTTATCTAAAATTCATATGATTTATTTAGTACTTTCAATGCGGCACTCATCAACATGCGGCGCGCGTCATCCTTTATCTATCTGATGTGTACTAAGGTAGTCAAGGTAGGTAACTATCGAGAAATAGNATAGTATTATTACACAGCTGATTATTTGAAAGAAAATAGATAACATCGGTTTATATAGATTACATATGATTTATTTACTATTTTCAATGCGGCACGCATCAACATGCGGCGCGCGTCATCCTATATTTATCTGATGTGTACTAAGGTAGTCAAGGTAGGTAACTATCGAGAAATAGTCCTACCAATCAGCGCTCGCCATTATTGCATATCCTTCACATGAACATGTAACGCTGTGTTTCTTTTATTTAATTTGCTTTTAGATAGATAGATACTTAATTTTATAACACTAAGCCCGAGAGGTGAATTAAGTTAAAATTACAAGATTCACTTCAAAACATTTAAAAGAAAAGCAAGCCATGTTGGAAATTTCTATTTCAATTATTWTCCCAATCGCTTAACATAGTGAAAATACCATGATACATATTCAGTAGTTTCGGATCACAAAGCAAAATCAAAGGTTTTTGTTGTTGTTGAGAAAAACTATTTTTTTATCATCAATAAGAGGAGAGACAGATAAAGCTGACGTCAACGAGCGCGCGCTTTTTCCGATGGTTGTTCTGATGAATAAAAACGAGAATTTTCGGCTACGCCTCGTGGATCCACACTACTTTGACAATGTGATGCAGAATTTATCTTCAATCAGAGGACAGACACATAAAAAACTGATGTCAATTTGTTAATTTGAGGATATTTGTTCATGGCTACTTTGATAAAATGAACATCTGGTAAGAAAATCGTRTCGATCTAGCTATGATTTACAATAATATTTATACTGATTTCCGTTATATATGAATTATGGCCACAAACTACTAGGAACCATGTTAAGTCCGTCAATAAAATTCCTACTTCAAGTTTTTAATTAACAGTGGTATTTTCATTTTGACCATCATTCAATCAGTCTGCATGCATCTGAACAGTTTTCTTAGTATCTGAACGCAGGCTCCTCGAATGTCCTTCATTCTTGTCAGATAAATAACAGGATTCAGAGTAGAGTTTACAAAAACAGTACTCATCAGTCCCACCAAGAAATAATCCATATATACAGGTGGCCGTAAAAATTCTGCAAGTACTCCAAAAAGAGGTATATAACAAACGAAAATAAGCACCATTATCAAGATCATTGTCTTCAGTAGCTTTCTGTACTTGAGAACATCGATGGCATTGKACTGTGTTGTACTGTTGGGTTGTTGGTTACCCTGTGGTTGGATCTGAGCACAGTGGATCTTCATGGCTCTCAACGACATCGTGTAGGATATTACAGTCACCAACAAGCATGCTGCCAGAGCGGCTATACAAACAATGCCCAACAAGGAAGGTGTATTTCGTAAAACTCTCGTAAAACTCAGGACAACGAAAGAAAACCCAGGACAAACCCAAGAAAAAACACAGAACAACCTCACTCTTCGTAGTGTGACAAAAGATCTGTAGCGCAACTTGAGTCGTATGGCCAGGTACCTGTC